TATATATAAATAAATAAGTGATGGGACCTAAACAGTAGCTGAAAAAGCAGGAAAAAAAGCCAAATTTTGCCGAAGGAAGATGAAGGAGCTGAAGGAAGCAGAACATATCTGAAATGAGCAGTGAAAGGTTTTAAATGGCACAAAGGGTTTGAAGGATGTGAAGAGGGATCTTTTCAATGAGAAAACACTCCTTTGATATAGAAATTGATGAAATGGCACAAAAACTGCAGAACGAGTTGCATGGCAAAAAGAAAAATGCACAGATCTGTGGCCTTCACACTACTGAGGGAAAGTGTGAGTTCTTCTAGAACACAAAAGGAGTTCATTGGAAGAAAAGTTCAACAATTTAGTTTTTCTTTAGTTGTTCTGCACTCGAGTTAAATTGTTTTATTTCAATCTGGAAATGTACTTTAGTGGAGCCTGACGAAGTCCTCTGGATGGGGATAAAAAGTTTGTCACTTAAGGAAAGTGGTCCAGATGACACGATTCAACGTGTTAGTTGTTGCTTGAGAAGTGTTGCTAGATGCTTTGTGAGCAGTCTGTTGAAATATCTGCAGCCAAGCAGCTAAAAGGCTGCTGGAGCAGGCGAGATATTCAGAGACAGCTTTCCTTTAAAGGATTGTTCTAGTGTCTTAAAGTGACTCAGTTACCCCCCTCTGTCTCCGTCAGGATAAACTTCACGAGGACGTAATGGAACAGCCGCAGCCCTCACCTCCTCCCCCATCTCAGAAGATTTCCTCACAGGAGAGGAAGCAGCGCTGGGAAGCGGGCCAGATCGACTACATGGGCGACGATTCCTTTGTCAACATCGAGCAAAAACTGAACATGTTCCTGAAATAGCAGGGAGTGAGACAGATGGCAGCTGTATGAGGGAGGGGGGGGGGGCACTAGCATTTAGCTAAACACACGAGCTACATTAGCAGGAGACTGAGTGGATGTGGGTTTGATCCCTGCACTGTTTGGTGTAAAGAGCAGCAGTTTGACCGAGGTGACGACCAGCAGCTAGCTGACAGGAAAACAGCGCTCGGCCTTTAATCTCGCTTCTACCACAAAGTTTTAGAGCCACTCAGAAGAAAACACACTGAGGAAGGTTTCTTTTATTTCAAGGTTAAAATATACATTTTAGGATTAAAGTTTCAATATTATTGACAAAATGTGTTGCACTTTTATCAACAGAAAAGTGGAAGTGTTGACAGGGCATCTCAATTTTATCTACAAAATATTGATGCAATGTGGAGGGGGGAGTGAACCCTGCTGTGCTCCTGAACCTAAATGTAGATTATTATGTTTGACAGGCAGAACGGTGGCTCAGCTGGTAGAGCTGCTGCCTCTCATCGAGGTCATCAGATCAAACCCCGGTCCAGGGGCCTTTCTGGGTGCAGTTTGCATGTTCTCTCCGTGCTGCGTGGGTTTTCTCTGGGTGCTCCAGTTTCCTCCCACAGACCAAAAACATGCACGTTAGACTGACTGGTAACTAATTGTCCCTTGGTGAGGGATTGAATAATTGTTTCATTTGTCTCTGTGTGTCCCTGTGATGGACTGGAGACCTGTCCAGGTCCCCCGCCTCGCACAGTGATAGCTGGATATGGACACCAGTGACCCTCGTGACCCAACAAGGAAGAAGCGGGTAAAAGATAATGGATGGATGAATTTTATTTGAAGTTATGGGTGCACTTCTGCTGGGTTCACTGCAAAATGCCAAACTACTTCCCCTGAAGCAACCTGAGGTGCAGTTTATTCTAATCACTGCAGTTGAACTCACACTCACTGTTTAATCCTTCAAAATAAGAGTCTCAAACTCGGTGCTAACGTCAAAAAATATGTAGAAACGTGAAGTTTATGAAAACTGTTACAGTATTGTTTCAGTGAAACGGGTGGTGCAGCCTGGAACTTTAAGAGTATTTAGAAGTTAACACTTTGTTCATGTATTTGAGACTTAATCCATCCATCCATCCATCCATCCATCCATCCATCCATCCATCCCCTTGTTCCAAGTTGGGTCTCGGGGGCAGCAGGTTGAGCAAAGAGGCCCAGACATCTCAGTCCACAGTCACCTCTTCTGGGAGGATACCAAGGCGTTCTCAGACCAACCTAGAGACATAGTCTCTCCAGCATGTTCTGGGTTTTACCTGGGGTCCCCTACCAGTCTGATATGCCTGAAGCACCTCCCTAGGGAGGCACTCTGGAAGCATCCTTACTCGATGCCCGAACCATCTCAAATGACTCCTCTCAATGTGGAGGAGTAGTGGTTCTACTCCAAGTCTGTCCCTTATAATTTAACTTTTCACCCCGTCTCTAAGGGAGAGCCCAGCTACCCTGCAGAGGAAGCTCATTTCAACCGCATGTATCCACAATCTCATTCTTTCATTCACTACCCTGAGTTCATGACCATAGGTGAGGGTAGGAACGTAAACCGACTGGTAAACAGAGCTTTGCTTTACAGCTCAGCTCCATCTTCCCCACAACAAACCAGCACAGAGTCCACAATACTGCAGATGCTGCACCAATCCAACTGTCCATCTGACGCTCCATTCTTCCCTCACTCGTGAGCAAAACTCCACAATACTTGAACTCCTCTACTTGAGACAGAACCTCTCCCTCGACCTGAAGAGAGCAATCCACCCTTTCTGACTGAGGACCATGGCCTCAGATATGGAGGTGCTGATTCTCATCCCAGCCAATTCACAGTCGGCTGTGAATCGCTCCAGTGAGTGCTGGAGATCACGGCATAATGTCGCCAACAGGACTACATCATCTGCAAAGAGCAGAGATAGAATCCTGAGGCCACCGAACCGGACTCCCTCTGCCCCCTGGCTGCATCTAGCAATTTTGTCCATAAAAGTTTTGGAACAGAATTGGTGACAATGGGCAGCCATGGGGGAGTCCAACTCCCATCCTGAAGGGGTTCGACTTGCTACCAGCAATGCGAACCAAACTTTCGCACCGCTTGTATAGGGACTGAACAGCCCGTAACAACGGACCCCCAATTCCATACTCACGGAGCACCCCCCACAGTGTACCTTGAAAAACACGGTCAAATGCCATCTCCAAGTCCACAAAACACATGTAGACTGGATGGGCACACTCCCATGACCCCTCAAGGACCCTAGTGAGGGTAAAGAGCAGATAAAGTGTTCCACAAGGACGGAACCCACATTGTTCCTCCTGGATCTGAGGTTCGACCAACGATTGGACCCTCTTCTTCAGTACCCCTGAAAAGACATTAACAGGGAGGCTAATGAGAGTGATGCCCCTAAAATGCCCCTTTTTGAAGAGGGCAACCACCACCCCAGTCTGCCAGTCCAGTGGCACTGCCCCACATGTCCACGCGACATTGCAAAGGCATGTCAACCAAGACAGCCCCACAACATCCAGAGCTTTAAGGAAATCAGGGTGAATCTCATCCACTCCCAGAGCCCTGCTGCCACAGAGCTATTTAACTACCTCAGCGACCTCAGTCACGGTTATGGACAGACCAACCCTGAAGTCCACTGACTCAGCTTCCTCCATGGAAGACGTGCCGGTGGGATTGAGAAGGTCCGAGAAGTATTCCTTCCACCTCCCGACGACATCACTGGTTGAGGTCAACAGCACCCCACCTTCACTTAGTAAAGTGCTGCTTTCCCCTCCTCAGCCGCCTGATGGTTTGTCAGAATCTCCTCAGAGCCGACTGAGAGTCTTTATCCAAGGCCTCTCCGAACTCCTCCCACATCCAAGCTTTTGCCTCAGAAACAGCCAAGGCTGCACACCGCTTGGCCCTTGGTACTTTTCAGCTGCCTCTGGAGTCCCATCAGCCAGCAAGGCCTGATGGGACTCCTTCTTCAGCTTGACAGCCTCCCTAGCCACCGAATTTGAGGATGGCCACCACGAGAAGCATCGACAACCTTGTGGCCATAGCTCAAGGCAGCAAGTGAAGCGAGGAACATGGTCCTTTCAGTCTCGATGTCCCCCGCCCAGCTGGGATGCGGTTTAAGCTCTCCTTGGAGGTGTGAGTTGAAGATCTTTCTGACAGGTTCTTCTGCCAGGCGTTCCCAAGTGGTGCCAAGTGCGCTTATAGACACCCTTGTGTTCGAACATGGTGTTCGTGATGGACAAACTATGACTAGTACAGAAGTCCAACTACAGAACGTCACTCGAGTTTAGATCAGAGAGGCTGTTCCTCCCAATCACGCACCTCCAGGTCACACTGTCATTACCCACGTGGGCATTTAAGTCCCCCAGCAGAATAAAGGAGTTCCCCAGCTGGCGCACCTTCCTTCCAGCACCTCTTGTCAGGGACTCCAAGAAGGCTATAAACTCTGAACTGTTGTTTGTGTTACGCAAGGCACAAACAACAGTCAAAGCCCGTCCCCCTACCCGAAGGTTCAGGGAAACTGCCCTCTCATCCATCGGGGAAAACTCCAACACACAGGCACCGAGTCGGGGGCTAAATGTAGACCCACACCAGCTCAGCAACTCTCACCATGGGCAACTCCAGAGTAGAATAAAGTCCAGCTCCTCTCAAGGACGTTGGTTCTAGAGCACATGCTGCGCGTTGAGGTGAGCCCAACTATATCTAGTCGATATCTCTCAACCTCACGCACAAGCTCAGGCTCCTTCCCCGCCAGAGAGGTTACATTCCATGCCCCAAGAGCAGCTTTGGTAAGCCAGGATCAGAGCACCAAGGCCCCCGCCTTCGGCCACCGCCCATGGCATCATGCACCCAACTTGAGACTCTTATTGTAAAGGACAAAAGTAATTTCTCTGAGCTCTGCTGCAGCGGGAGTAATCAATAAATACTGTGGGTTATTTTGCAGAACTGTAAAAGTGCACTCTTAACCCTCAGAAAGAATAACGACATAAATAAATACAGTCCAGTTCAAGAGAGAAGTCTTGAAACCACCTTTTTACCACCTTATAAATTGTGAGTCCTTTTCTGTCAATAAAACTGCAATTATTTTTGTCAGCAAAATTGACATTTTAACTTTGACATTACACTTTAAATGTAAGTGGCTTTAATTCTTTGTTGTTACAGCACTTTAAACATTTCTGTAATTGAATTGTGGACAAATTTAGTTATTTTTGATCTTGGAACTTTAGATATGACTGTAACTTAATTGTGAAACAATTTCTAGTATAAAATCATTGTTTTTCAACATTTAATTATTACAATTTAACATGTTTTCACAAATGTGTTTCTGGTAACTAGTCAGTTGGAACAGCTAGCTGGATTTTCATCAAGTCCCGAAGTCTACATGTCGGCACGTCCTACAGCAACATCTGGTTTCATTTATGTGTACCGTACCTGAAATGTCTTGGTTTTGTGCTAACCGAAGCTAGCTAGCTGCTTGAGTTATAGTTATAGATGGTAAACTGTTGCACTTGTGTACTTTACTTCCTGGTCATATTCTGAATCTGATGGAGATAAATTCCTAACTCTTCCTAGCGTGTGGAAAATGTCAGCAGCAAGACGAAGTGCAGGTCAGGCTTATACGTGTTCAGCTCTGGGTTTTCATCAACTTTTAATCCTGTTGCAGTCCGTCCGTCTGTCCTTCCCTCTGTTCCTTAGATCTGATCTTTGTGACCATGTCCATCTCAGGAGTGCATGACTTCTTGTGACTTTAGCTCTTGTCCTGTTGTGGATATATTTGCATGGCAGTTTAAAATGTGGGTCTGTATAATACATTTTTATTCACCTTTATTTAACCAGGCAAATCCCACTGAGATCACACATCTTTTGCAAGGGAGGTCTGGGCCTGAATGCAGCCTAACATGCGTGTTTTTGGTCTGTGGGAGGAAACCGGAGCTTCCGCTGACACTGATGTAAACATTGACACCCCCTCCACACAGACCTCTTGTCCTGCATGTACCTCCAGCAGACCCACATCGGTGTT